GTCCCAGCTACTTGGGAGGCTGAGGCAAGAGAATCGCCTAAGCCCAGGAGTTGGAGGTTGCTCTGAGCTGTGATGCTACAGCACTCTACTGAGGGCAATAAAGTGAGTCTCTCTCTAAAAAAAAAAAAAAAAAAAACACACCAGGCTCAGTGGCTCAGACAGTTGAAAGTTCTGAGCCCTTTAAGGAAGGGCTGGGCCCAGGAATTCAAATTCCATCGTGTGCAGGCACATTCTCTCCACATGACCAGGCAAGGTGGGCTGCCTCTAACTCACATGTCCCCTTTGGTTTCAAAACAGAGTCTCATAATTGAGTCTCGCTGGTGTGGCATAAGGCACCTGCCAGTGCCTGAGAGAGGGGGCTGGGAAGGCTCCTCACAGACTCAGAGGAGACAGGGTGGTTCCCTCAAAGAAAAATGAGGTGAGGTACCTTGAAGTGGTGTGTGTGTGTGTGTGTGTGTAGGGGGGGCATTAAAGAAATGCTGTGTAGGAAAAAAAAAAAAAAGAAAACATGCTTGCCCATCATAGATGAAGCTTGTTGTGGTAAGTATTAAAATAGGTATTAGCCTTTATCATCATAGGAATGATAGCAGAAAGATCTGGACCAACAGTCTTAGCATCACTTAGCTCAGAGCGCACCCAATCTGGTATTTGCAAACACACACATTGCTTGCCCACAGCAGACGTTGCTAATCGATACAGGCACTCTGCCATGAGCCTGCTGTGACCTTAGAGGACTTCTCTGCAGAGAGCTCCACGCAGCCGTTAGCACTGGCCTGCACTGGCTCATGTCAGGAGACCTGCTTGTCACCTGCATCTAGTCCCGCTTTCCCATCCCTTTCCTACCTCCATGGAAGTCCTTTAGTGCTCCTGCCTGGGGACCAAGTGGATGGGGGATTCTCTGGGTCTGGGGCAGGTGGGGCTGCGGGAGGGAGCAGGGCTCCACTGAGCTCTCTCTGTGTCTCTACACCACACTGGGTGAGGTGGGAGGAAGTTACTGTCTCCACTGGGCGCATGAGGGCCACTGAGGCTAAGAGAGAATGTGACTTTCCTGGCCCACATAGCTGTGGGTGACAGATGTAGGATTCAAAGACAGTTCTGTGTGACTCAGAGGCCTGGAGGAGGCCAGGCTTGTCCTGAGCCCACCCTGCTTTTGAAGATGCTTCCTTAGGCCTGGCACTGCATTCATTCCTCACCACCTCCCACTCCCAATAAGAACAAAGCCTCAGGGAACCTTTTGAACTAAAAGTGACTCTTGAAGCCTTCCTGTGGAGTGTGGCGAGCAGCTGGGTCTGCCCACACAGGGAAAGGGAGGCCCCGGCTGGCCACACAGCTGCTGTGAGGAGCAGCGGGAGGACCAGGCCTCCCAGGTGTCAGGAAGTCTGGCTGTGAACCCCAGCTCAGTCCTCAGATCGCTGTGTGACTTTAGGATAGTCAGTTCCCCTTTCTCTGCAGCATTCTCTTCAAATGGACTTGCTGTGGAAATGGGGATTGTAATACCCCAAGTCCTCGGGCCTCATGCATTCTTAATCTTCAGCACTTGGCCACCACAGAGTCCACCAACGGCCTAGGGACCTGACCTAGGCAGTGCATCAGCACTCCCATGCAGCAACCTGCTCTGGTAAGGACCCTCAAGGTCATCCCTGTGGAGGCTTTCAAGTTTCCCCCAGTGCTTGCAGCCTGGAGGTTAGGATGGCCAGAAGCTAGGTGGTGGCAGTGTTGTGCTCAGGACCATGATGATGAGGAAATCCTAGGGAGCTCAGAGGCAGCCCTGGGTGACCTAGCCAAGAAGACAAGGAAGGCTTCTGCAACCAGAGACCTCTGAGCTGAGACTTGAAGGAGGAATTAGGATGGCAGGGCAGAGGAAGCGGGAGGACGCTCTTTTTTTTTTTTTTTTTTGAGACAGAGCCTCAGGCTGTCGCTCTGGGTAGAGTGCTATGGCATCACAGCTCACAGCAACCTCCAACTCCCAGGCTTAAGTGAGTCCCCTGCCTCAGCCTCCCAAGTACCTGGGACTACAAGCGCCCGCCACAGTGTCTGGCTATTTTTTGGTTGCAGCCATCATTGTTGTTTGGTGGGCCCAAGCTGGATTCGAACCTGCCACCTTAGGTGTATGTGGCTGGTACCTTAGCCACTTGAGCCACAGGCGCCGAGCCGAGGACCCTCTTAAATCAGGAGAACAGTTGGAGCAAAGGCTTGGTGGCCAGAGTGCAACCAGCAGCCTCTGTATACAGGTGAAGGGTTTGTGCAGTGGGAGCAGGAGGGCTGTCGGAGAGGACAGCTGCTGTTTTCCATCAGCATGGCCCCTGTAACGTCCCTGGAGAGCTTGGATGTCCACAGTGCTGATTGACTACATCCAGCCCAACTCCCGGGGACACAATGAGGGTGAGAGTTCTATGTGGCCCAACGGTCAAGGAATGAGCCCGGAGGAATGAGGCTGGCAGAGAAGGGACAGTGGCATTCCAAGCAGAGGAGAAGCACAGGCAAAAGCCTGGTGTGGAGTGAGTAAGGGGACTTCGCAGGAGGAAATGGCAGAAGGTGAGCCAGGAAAAGAGTCTAGGGCAGGTCATGGAGGACATGAATGGACTATTCAGGCTTTATTCTAACAGTGGGGAGCCTTGAAGGGTTTAGATTTGTGCTTTAGAAATCCCACCTGCTGAGCGGTACCTGTGGCTCAGTGAGTAGGGCTCAGGCCCCATATACTGAGGGTGGTGGGTTTGAACCTGGCCCCTGCCAAACTGCAACAAAAAAATAGCTGGGCATTGTGGCAGGCACCTGTAGTCTCAGCTACTTGGGAGGCTGAGGCAAGACAATCACATGAGCCCAGGAGTCTGAGGTTGCTGTGAGCTATGACCATAAGGCACTCTACCTACTGGAGGCAACAAAGTGAGACTCTGCCTCAAAAAAAGGGGGAAAAAAAAATCCTACCTGAAGGTACTGGGACCCCAGTGTGCCAGGTCCTGTCTTAGGCCAGGAAATACAAGAGTAGGGTGACCAGACGTCCTGCTTTTCAACAATTTGTCCCCCATCCCGCAGCATTTAAAAAAAGTCTCGATTTTTGGAAAGAATGCACGAACAGGCGGAAAACAAGAAGGGAATATACGGTTTTCGGCTGCCATGTGGCTTTTTCACCAGAATATGAGTTTTATATTATTTTTGTTAATTTTATAATGTTAAACTGTAATAATAACAAATAATTGCTGAGAAGTGATTATCAAGAACTGCTTATCAAAGTTTGCATTGTTGTCAGGCCCTGCCCTGCCCTGCCCCCCCACCCCCGGCC